TGAAGACCATAACCCTATATCTAGTAGATATATTCTTTAAAACTGAGTATGGAAAAAAGAAAAAAGCTATCAACAGCCTAGACAAGAAATGTTGATTCTCAAAGTTAATGTTGATTCTCAAAGTGGAAGAAAAAAAGTACACAGAGGTAGGCAGAAAGATGGAAGCAGCAGTAACACTGTGAGGTTCTCAATTACACACAGGGTTGTACAATATTACTGGAAGAGAATTTATGAGAAGCTAAAGATTTATTTTGAAAGCAGAATGATCATTTAATTTTTTAAAAGAAGTATATGAGGAAGCTACTAGTAGAAAGAGTAGATGAAATCCTAAAAACACTGAATCCCAAATAAAGGAAAAATAATAAAAGCTTTGCTATTTTGTTTCTGTTTTGAACAAAACAAGTAGTCAAGTAGAATCACAGGTGCAAATCCAGTCACATTGATGACATCATATGGATGCTTATGTTAAAGAGATTTCATACTGGTTACAAAGTAAGACTTTGGCAGGATAGATGGCTCAGTTGGTCCAGTGCTTGCTGTTCAAGTGTAAAAAAATCTTAGTTTGCATTTCCAGAACCCAGGTTAGGCCAATATGGTTGTACTATTTACAGCCCCTGTGGGAGGGAATAGGAGACTTCCTGGGAGCTTCTGGGCCAGCCAGCTTGGCCTTCTATAGTAGCCAACAAGACACTTGTCTCAAGGCCTGAATGACAGTGAGCAGAGGAAGTAGTTTCTGGAGAACAGCAACCACCATAGTCAGAGAGAAGTTCAACTCTATATGCTCATATGGGAAAAGAAGAAAGATTAGCCACCCAAGATTCCACCTTAAGAAGACAGAAAAGGAGCGTGTCCCAAATGATAAATAAATGTTACCAGAGATTGAAAAAAAAACACAATGCTGCTGAAAAGTAGCAGCATCAAGAAAGGAGAGAACGGGTTCAGGAATGGCAGTGTACTACCAACTGCCGACCTCGACAAGAGCAGGTTAGTCGAAAGCCATGCAGAATGTACTTGGGAGTGAATGCATGTGTAGAGACTACAGCATATTTAAGATGTGTAGACATGAATAGCAGAGAAACAGATGGTGGGTGAGTAAACAAGACATGTGGTCAAGCCAGGCTTGCATTTTACGATGAGATTTCTTAGGACACTGAAGAAATGATCCACTATAGAAAAGATGGGCCGGAGCAGAAAAGCAATGGAGCAAAGCCCCTGAGAAGGCAAGTGGGTGAGAGAAGACTTTGTTAGAAACAGGACACAAGTAATTTAACTTAATACAAAAAGACTTGATTGAGCAGTGAAAATCGTTGTAAGAAGTTAGGTCACACTATTTTAGTTTAATGGATTACTTATAATTTTTACTTTAATGGTTCAGTTATGAAGTTTTGACTACCATTATCAATCTTACTGTTTACTACACTGGCCCAGTGACGGCTTTCCTGATCTCAGAATGGATGTGAAAACTTTTGTTCTAGTCTGAAACGGCCATGGATTGCTAGGTTTCTTCTGTTTTCCTTCTTGCCTCTTCTCTCACAGAAATCTACATGATACATGATATCTGCATTGTGGCTAAAATCTTCCAGAGTAAGCACTTCAAATAGAAGTTTTTAAGCTCAATTAAAGTTTAAGAGGACACCAATATTCAAAAGCATCACACAATGTGAATATTAGCCTAGTAAATAGCAATAAATTCAAAAGCTCGGGCTAATGACAGCTACACAGAAAGCACATGGGCTGCTGGCGAATGGTTCCGATTAAAGTGCTTGCCAAGCAAACATGAGGACTTGAGTTTGATTCCAGCACCCATGTAAAACGCTTACCATGTGATGTGTGCTTGTAATCCCAGTGCTGAGAGGCAGAGACAGGGACTCCTGGGCGTGGTGGTGAGCCAGCCTAGCCTAACTGGGAAGCTCCAGGCCAATGAGAGGCGCTATCTCAAAAACCAAAGTGCACAATGTCTAAGGAACAAAGCCTGAGTTTGACTACTGGTGCCTACAGACACACGTGCACAATAACACATAGAAAGAAAGTACATAAGTAATAATGATAGCGCTTATGTCTGATAATGCCTTTGGGTTTAATGCTGAAGACTATAAAACTGTTCTGGTAGTTTACATCTTCTAATGTCTGCTATTTAGAGTAAGCAACAGAATTTAACATTTCTAAGTTTAAGAGAAACATAATTAAATACTTTACCAGCTGTGAGTTCGAGACCAGCCTGGTCTACAGAGCTAGTTCCAGGACAGGCTCCAAAAGCCACAGAGAAACCCTGTCTCGAAAAACCAAAAAAAAAAAAAAAAAAAAAAACAAAATGATGTTATTTTGAAACACAGTTAAAGATTAAAGAATTCTGGCAATTTAATTAAATAGACAAAACAGTCAATTTCAGATATAAAAATATGAATTTAAGCAAACAATTTTTCGTTAAAGAGATACTTTTAAGTAAATTATAAGGTGCTTTTTAGCACATGGAGAAATGGATATACTTCATTCATTTTTGATGAATTTTAATAGCACAAAACCTATTCTGTGTGTGTGTATGTGTTCATTTGCATGTGCACGTGTGTGTAAACAGGAGGCCTACATTTCTCTCTACCTTATTTTTTGAGTCATGATCTCACCAAACATGGAGCTCACCAATTTGATTAGGTTGGCTCAACAGCAACGCCAGCGATCTTCCTGCACTACGATTTCAGCTGGGTATTACCCTGCCCGGCTCTACGTGGGTGCTGGACATTCAAACTCAGGTGTTGAAGCTTACACTTTACTAACTGAGCAATTTCTCTAGCCACAAAACTATTTCTTAAATAGAAATAATTCAGCCATTATAAATTTTGGATTTTACTTGTAGAAATTTATTTTATGAAAATAATTATAGGATTAATAGAGACAGAGGTCCAATGACAGAAATGTACTGCTAAGAATGTGTTACAAGTAATCTAACAGAATTCCCAACACCAGGTCAGGATTCTCCAAGAGACTGACTACTAAAACATTTTAGCCCTTGACTGTCCTCCCAGTCCCAAGGTGGAGTGTGCCTATTGCTAAAGCACGGCCCAGATGCCTCTCAGCTGGAACTGACATTATAGCCCTTGACTGTCCTCCCAGTCCCAAGGTGGAGTGTGCCTATTGCTAAAGCACGGCCCAGATGCCTCTCAGCTGGAACTGACATTATAGCCCTTGACTGTCCTCCCAGTCCCAAGGTGGAGTGTGCCTATTGCTAAAGCACGGCCCAGATGCCTCTCAGCTGGAACTGACATTATAGCCCTTGACCGTCCTCCCAGTCCCAAGGTGGAGTGTGCCTATTGCTAAAGCGCGGCCCAGATGCCTCTCAGCTGGAACTGACCTGAAGAACTGCTCTGATGACTAGCTTTCATAGAACCAGAACGTTTCATGCAAGCTTCCAAAAATAGGGGAAAACCCAACAGTTATACCCAGCTATGATGCCTATGAACCACAACAATGACCAGCACGGCACGGTAACTTTAAGGGTGCAGTAGTGGCACCACCTTGACGATAACCAGCAACTCGCTAATCAGACTTAAGACCCACTCAACAAGAGGAAAAATCACACCTGGCACTGGAAACCTAGCCAATTAACCATGGCTAGGGAAGTCATGGATCTTGGAGAAGAACCTACATCCTCCACTTTACTAAACCAGGATAATCCTTAAGTATATTCTAAATGTTTATCTTTATACTCTAAGAGTGTAAGTGCAGTCCTTACTTTTTACCAAGAAAGCTTCTCTTTGCAATAGAATGAGACCAACACAGAAAACAACAAGCAAAAGTGCAGAGTTATGGAGTCCTGCCCCAATGGATACACCTACCAAACAACCTTCAGCTAATGCTCAGAGAACATTGCAGAAGAAGGAGCAGGAAGGTGTACGAGCCAGAGGATCAGGGAGTTTGCTATAAGATAGCATCTCTTAGTAATAATGTCAGGAGCTACACCCATGTCTTAGCAGTAAGACTGCTAAAGCATGAGATGAATAAGAACAACAATAACAGAGATGCCAAAGCAGAAGGAAAGGCCTATTAGGCCTCAGTCTTACACAAAAAACTACAGGCAACTAAGGAATACTGAGAGTGAGACAAGCAGTCTTCACCAGGGAGCAGCACATCAACTGGTGATTCAATACCATGAGGTTAGCCCTGAAACATACATACAAGTAGCAGACAAGACTGGGCAGGCTATGTTAAGGTATATATATATATATATATATATACATGCTAACAATTAATGGAAAAAGAGACTTTAAGTTATACTTATTTTTAATAATATCAAAACAATCAAAACAATATCTATAATATTGCAATATACACAATAAAAAGAGCTACACAAACAATATACATGACATATCTTGGTAGGTATACATATGTAAAATTACATATAAGTAAAGTAGGCAAATGAATTTACAAATCCAGAGGAGAGCTCTGCAGGGAAGCAGGCGGAGGAGCTAAGAGAATCCAGATAGAAGCTGTATCCACTCTGCACCACACAGTCCTACTTGTAGAATGAAGCTGCCCATAAAAGAGTGAAAACCACAAGAGCCAGAATGGTGTGCAGGAGTCCAAGGAACTATCAGGAAAGGACTTACACCTCTCCTCTGGCCCGTCTCAACAGAATCACAGGAACATCAAGGTTGCTGAAACAGCCACATCCTTTAGCTGCAGGTATTGGCATTTGCTGTGGGACCTGATGTGTGGTAACATTGAATGGTAGCTGAGAAAACAATTCCTCAGACGAGCAACTCGGAGTGCCTGCTATAAACTCTGTCTTATTCCCCAAGTAGGATATTTATTGAGAGAGAACCAGAGCTCCAAAGCTATTTGTTAGTACCACTAAAAAGAGCCTTAGCCAATATCCAGTAAAGTCGGGACATTCTGTTGCATTTGTTTGTACTTGTTTGGGTTTTGAATCAATTAAAAGCCAGCACTGGCCATTAGGCAATGCTATCAGTGGAGAGACAGCATCATCCAAATGAGACCACACTTACCTTTGGGTTGTTTGCATCAAATAGACCAGTTGAAAGCCTGATCAGTAAGGAGTTCTTGGTTTTAGCTTTTGGTGGTGAATCAGAGCGAGATCGGAGTGAAACTGGTTCTGACTGAACTACGCTCAAGTGCTCAGACTGAGCCACTTTCTGGAAGAATGGTTCTGGCGGTACTGACTTCTCTACGTCACATCTGGACTGCTGAGAATCATCTACTGCAGGCTCTGTGGAATAAAAAGAGATTATATCATAAATTTATAGAATAGCACTTAAAATTCTAAAAATATCAGCAAGTATCATATAATATTTAACACGCATCCCATCCTAAGATCTGCAGAGATGGCTTGGTGCTAAAACACTTGCTGTTCTTGCAGGAGACCTGGGTGTGGCTCCTAGGACCCCCATAGCAGCTCGCAACCATCTTTAACTCCAGTTCCAGCGAATCTGACATGCTACACTCTTCTGGCTTCTGTGGGTACCATGACCAAATGTGGAACAAATACTACTTATATGCAGACAAAACACTCAGCCATATAAAATATTTTTAAATAAAAATGAATTAAAAAAACTCATACCAGGTAAACAAAATCAAAGTATACATATAAGTATATTGTATACTATCTTATAAATAACCATTAAGGAGATATAACATTTTAATTTCATATATATCTTTATTATATTGGAAGTTTTAAAATAAAGAAATCTAAAGAAATGTAAAAATATAGTTTAGAAAATCAATTTTTCTGTTCGTTTTCATAGAGGAGAAAAATTGTTTATATTGTGTTATATTTTGACCAACAGTATTTTAAAAAGATACCAGTTTACTCAGTGTCTTTGGTATATTGCTTTGTTTTAGCAGCAAATTCTTTTCATTTTCAACAATACAACTTACCAAAAAGTTAACTGCTTATATTCCCACAATCCCGGGCCAGCTAGTACAGGTTCCTAGTTTCTAGGCCTATTTTAAAATAGAATTATGACGACTTATAATGGTGCCCAAATGAGACAGGCTGGTGTTAAGAAGCCGTCCAGAAAGAGTTTGACTCCTACAGTGGCACTTACCTATATGATCCTCACGAGACTGCTCCACATTCCCTGGAATGCTGCCTTCACAAACCTCACTCTGCTGCTCAGCAACCTTATCTTCCAACCTGCCACAGACAGACAAACCAAGCAAAATAAATACCACGCAGTTTTATTAGAAATAAAAGCCCTTTTATATAAAGAAAATGAAATCCACATCTACTAGCATCCTGAACTCCCTTGTCCAAATGATTTTCTAATCTTAATATAATACTTCCTCTTTAAGTACAGTGTTTTCTACTTTGAGCAAAGTGAAACTCTTACCAATCACTAATTATTAGTTAATATTCATTCATTCTGAAAGTTTACATTGGTCAAAACTCTAAAGAATGACTAAATTACAAATGCAATTCATCTAAATTCATCTCTGCTTCAAAAAAACCACCTGATTTTGCAAAAATATTTTATGTAAAACATTACTCATTGCAGCATCACAATACATAGCATGAATATTCATCAAGTAGTAGGTTATTGAGTTTTCTTATATCCATATAATAGAATATAAAATAGAGAACTTTCAATTAATGTGAGAAAATTTCCCAGACGACAAACTTTTTAAAAAAGTATTTGTTCTATATGTATGTGTATGTGTGTGTATATCACATGTGCACAGGAATCCTTGAAGGAGGGAAGAGGAATCAGATACCCTGAAACTAGAGTTACAGGGTCTATGAGTTGGCATGTATGTGCTGGGAGCCAATCCCAGGTCCGCAAGAGCAGTAAGCCCTTTTTAACTGCTGACTACCGACTTTATAAACAAAGTGAGCATGGAGTTTGCTCAGTGGTTAAGAGGGAGCACTGACTGTTCTTTCATAAGGACCAGCGTTTGGATCCCAGCACACACACGGATCAGCTCATAAAAACTACAGGTCCAGCTCCAAGGGATTCAGTGTGGCTTCCTGCCTCCATATTTTATCTGTGCACACACATGTGAGCATACACTTTCAAAGACACACAAACACATTTTAAAAAGCTGAAAAGGTTTTAATAAGCATTGTATATATTAGCAACTGTATTTGAAAAGACTATGTATTTTGTTTATATATAATAAAAATTATCTGCAGAGAAAAATCAGAAATTGGTTGAATGGGAATAAAGGCTGGCAAGACATTTACTGCTTATCTTCATATAGTTTTTTATTTCTGTCCCATGCTAATATCTATTAAGAAATCAAATTACTTTATAGGGGGTACTACAATATGAAGTTATTAAACTACAACATTAGTTAATACAGCATTACTTATTAAAGAGCTTACCAAAGGAACCTGCCTTTGAAAAGTAAAGAAAAAGACAACATACTCTGTTTCCTTAGCTTCTTCTTCCTCACTAATCCACACATCATTAACAGCACGTGGCAAACTTCCATCTGTGTCTGTGCTACTTGGCTCTTGGAGAACTTCTGTCTCCAAATCATCAGGTTCTGCAGAGCAAGATCAGGAGATGTCAGAGTAAAGTTTGCTGAGAATGGGCTGACTAACTTTCTGTAAGTTATTATTTCACTTAGTTTAACTAAAGAAAATCAACTGTTTAAAGCTTTCTGGGCTAGTTCTGTAGCACAGTCATTCCTAAAATGAAAGACGAGGCCTTTCATTTTTTTGGTATAACAAAAATACTTGAGTACTGTGCACAATATTCATTATTATGTAAGGTATATGCCGGGCGGTGGTGGTGCACGCCTTTAATCCCAGCACTGGGGAGGCAGAGGCAGGCGGATCTCTATGAGTTCGAGGCCAGCCTGGTCTACAAGAGCTAGTTCCAGGACAGGCTCCAAAGCTACGGAGACACCCAGTCTCAAAAACAAAAAAAAAAAAAAGATATAAGCCTTATTAAAACTACAGCAATATGTAAATCAGCATAAAGGAATCAAAACTAAAGACTAAAGATACCTGTTGTTACAAGTATGAGAAAATAGACTGTATTATTAATATTTAGTAAAGAAACTTTAATCTTGGAAATCTTCCAACAAACACAAAAGAAAACCAATATGATTACCTGGACTTTTACAATGGCCTTGAGAAGTATGCTAAATCAATTTTCTTATACCCTCAAATAATTAATAGCTAGGAAACTATTTTTCTGGCCATCTTTAAAGAGAGTCTATTTGTCCATTTATATGTTTATGTATATGTCTGCATGAATGTATGGACATATGCAAGGTATGTGTAAATAATATATGTTGAGGCTAGAAAAGAGCGAGATCCCTTCGAGCTGAAGTTATGAGTGCTTGCAGAATGGCAGACATGGGGTGCTGGGATTCACACTCCGGTCTGCATAACTGTGCAGCAAGTGCTTTGCTGCTGAGTCCTCTCTTCAGTCCCACTGAGACTTCTATTTTTCCTGTCTGAGATCATATACTTTCTTACTTAATTCAACACCATGCACATTTTTTCATGGACTTCAGATATGCTTTTCTTATCTATTTACAAATTTCTAATGTTTTGCCCTATTGTGAAAGACAAGAGACATGCAAATACTAATTTTGATCTGTTGCTCACATGAATGTTTGGGTCATCCATACAAGGTATGTACTAAGATAGAAGAACCTTTTTATTTTGTCTTTTAATGTGTAATTCTGTTCTTGTTAAATAGAGGGAGAAAAGGAGGTGGCAATGGGTTGGTTGTTTCTAGAAAGAAGCTGACACAAGTTTTCCTTTGGGAGAGTTTTATCGGCCTTAAGATAACAGAGACGCAGTCACTCTGAGGCAGGACAGCGCCCTCTAACAGACAATAGGAAGGAGAAGGCCTGATGGAGGAGAGCTTTCCCTTAGAACCCACAAAGGAGTTTTAGTAAGAGGCACAGATTAAAGAACCAGAGAGACAGCTGTCATGGACAGGATAATGGGAGGGGATCAACTTTAGAGAAATTCTACAAACACAGGAAAATATATGACCTTTATATCCTTCCAGGGGCTGGTAGGAAGCTCCATATCACATGATTTTGTTCAACACAGCCCACTGACAGGGAGCACAAAGGAGCCAGCTACAGTGTAGCACTATAAATCAGGGGCGGTAGACCCACAGCACAGATAGCTTCTTAACTCTATGTCCCAGAGAAAGAGCTGAGGGGAGCAAGGCCTGGTTTTTCCAGGCTGTGGGATGGACTTCTTAGAGAGATCAGCTTCTTAAAGGGGTAGGTTCACTATTTAACAATTCCCTAGTGATCTTCAGCTCTATCAAAACTAACATTCTATCCTCTAAACTCAATTTGTGACCTGGTTTCCATAAAGCCTAAAATATTTACTCCACAACTCTGTAGGAAAAGTGAAGCTTGCCAACCTCAAAACTAGGCTATAAACTCTCTACTATAAGCACACTCATCCTGCTGGTTAATTTTATCTTTTATCTCTCGAGAGGAAAGCACCCAACAGAAGTGAAGGAGGAAGACCTGGAGTTTACAAAGACCAGAACCAGTTCCTATCTCCACCAGCCTGTAGTTCACAAGCCATTAGGCAGATTGTTCAGAAAGGTTGTGGACTCAGTAAAGGGGGAAGATTAGCCATAGACTAAACACTGCTTGATTCCACTTCACAGAACTTAAGAAGAAGGCCTAAAAGGATCAAGATACTCATAACTAACCAAAGTGTATCCCAGAACAAAGGTCAAGAGTAGTTATAGAAATATAAAAACTACATAAACTTCCACAAATTATAATTCAGTGTTTTGTCCCTAAGCAAAAATAATCAAGTATAATATGGTCTACCAACCAAAGGCAATGTCCAAATGACAGAGATGATGAGATTACTCACTGGGGAAGGACATTTGTAGTGATTATTATAGCTGGGCTCCCTTGGGTTCAACTAAAGAAGACTGACCATGGGAGGGACAAAATAAGGGAAGCTGGGCTGGTGTGCAGCTCAGTTGCAGAGTACTTGCCCAGCATGAAGAGACTCTGGACTAGAACCTCCTCTACCAAAAGGAGGAGGGGAAAAAAGATTGGTGCTGGACTTGTAGGAGAAAAGTCCAAAAGAATACAGGAAAAAATACTGGCAAAGAATTTTCCAATACAAGTGACAGTTATGACTCACAAGTCCAAGAACACTAGCAAAAGGATGTGAGAACAAGGAGTGTCACCACCAAGCTCACTGAAACCAGGGCTTTGAGAAAAAGCCAGAGCAGCAGCCAGAGGACAATGACATCCTGCATCCAGAGGAACCGCTGAGACTGACAGTCACAGACGACTTCCCGCTGCGAGCAGTGAAGAAATATTGTTAAAGTAGAATAGAAAGAAAAAAGTATCAGCTAATTCCATAGCTCTTAACAAATATTTGTGAAGGCAGGCACAGTAAACTTTTACAGACATATACAAGTTGAAGGAACCAATCATTAGTGATATTAAAGCATAGCAAGTCTTAAAGGGAAGCCAACACGCAGAGGAAACAGAGCCAGACAGTAGAGAGCACTAAAAATATAAACACAAAGCAGACACATAGGACCACTTCACTTACTGCTTACGTGTCCCTAAGAACTAATAAGTAGATTATGAATTTTATAGCAAAAATATAAGCAAAGCAATTACCTCACCCATCCCAATCCTAGCACAAAGGTAGGAAGGAAGAAAGTGCAAGACTGTTATAATGCTGCTTGCTATATATAGGTTAAGCACTGAAGACATTTGAAAATAGAGTTCATAAAAGTATATACTGTGGACTCTAAATCAAATAGTGAGTTATCAGAGTAATGAACTCTAAGAAAGCAAGAGGAAATAGAGAAAAAATACACAGATAAAGCAAGGTGGTACAGTTAAATTTTGTAGAATGCAAATAGTATAAAAGTATTAGGTGTTAGGAGTGGACTGAAAAAGCAAACCCACACTAAATGTAAATGTATAAACAGTTTGAGTGCGGGAAAGGGATAGATATCTCAATCTAACATTGAGCAAAAGAATATAAAAATGACTATACCAATAAAACATTCTTTAAAAGAGTTGGTTGGCGCACACCTTTAATCCCAGCACTCAGTAGGCAGGCACAGGTGGATCTCTGTAAGTTCAAGGCCAGCCTAGTCTATAAGAGCTAGGTCCAGAACAAGCCCCAAAGCTACAGAGAAACCCTGACTCAAAAACCAAAAACGAAAACCAAATGAAAAAATCTTTAAAAGAAAAAATTAAAGCTCACAATACAGATGCCTCTCAAAAAGCATATGTCAAAGAAGCCAGAAACAAGAGAACACAAAACTTATACGGCTGGCTTCATGGCATTCTAGAAACAGAATAACTAATATAAGGTGGGGAAATTTCAGACAAAGAGTCTCTGGGAGACAAAAGTCAAAGTCTGATTGAGGAAGGGCTGTGACACTTCTTGGGGTGATGGTAATGCGCTATCTATTATTAGTAATTAATGTTAAATACGTCCACGCATTTGCTGGAACTCAGCAAATGTACAAATCATAATCCATAAAATAACATAAAAGGTGAACAACTAAATAAATACTGAATTCTGACGGTGACTCTATGCTGTGAAGCACAGGAAAGTATACCAATGTCTGCGGTTGACTCTGAGTCATGTCAGAAATAAGACTGATGAGTACAGGATAGAGACAATGGACAGCACTAATGGTAGAAGGTAAATGGATGATTATAACACCTACTGCAAAATTATTAAATTCTTCTACATGTTTGAAATTTCTCATAATGAAATTCTAGGAATTTAGATATAACACAATGAGATATACAAACATAAAGAGAATTTTAATGTAGTAGTAGTATAAGGTCCATAAAATACACTTAAAAATAAAATCTAGAACAATGCAAATAAAACTGCATATAATCAATAAGGCAATATAAAGGGAGAATTATATATGAACACGCCCATTCACACATATATGGATATATGTGCATATATGTGTATATACATACATGTGTATACATTAAATAAATATATCTTTATTTAATCTATATATACACACAAACATGTATAAGCACATATATCTGAATGTACTCAGAAAGATAAACAAGCTAATGTCAGCAAGTACCTGGTAACAGGAAGGATTGCCCTTCATGTTTTAGGAAAGTACTGTTCCAGGCCTAAAGAAGAAGTAGAACTGATCACCCAGTTCTTGTGTTTTTGGTTTATTTGTGATCAGTCTTCCCAGTTTCTTAAGAAATAAGAGAAGCTGAGCATGGTGATATATACACCTGGAACCCTAGGACTTAGAAGTTCTGAAGCAGGAACTCAATGGGTTCCATGCCAGACAGGTCTATATAACCCTTTCCAGGAAGCTTATGTATTTCTCACCCTGGCCCGCTACTGACCTTACACAGTGGCAGTGGTCTATTATTAATCCAGAGCAGTGCTTCTCAACCTTCCTAATGCTGCGTGGAGCCTTTTCATACAGTACCTCATGGTGTGGTGACCCCAAATCATAAAATTATTTTTGTTGCTAATTCATAAATGTAATTTTGAATCATAATGTAAGTATCTG